GAATGTGCACTCGGTTGAACTAAACCAGATTCCTAGCACGGGAATATGTTCCATTCCACCCTTTCATCTAAAGAAGCAAAGGAAGTTGAGCTGCTCCAACTATCTGGACTTGGACTAATAGCGAATAAAATCATATTTCCAATTTCCATCATCGGTTGATGCTGATTGATTGGTTATATTTCACTTACACACCGATTCTTCAATTGTGGGAATTCTATAAACCGCTAAATCGCCCGAGCTCGATATCAATGCTAAATGTTTACGAAGTCATGATAAGTACCATTTTCATTCCGCATGCTACTGCGCGCATTACGCGACAATCTTCAGCAAAATTGGACAACCTTTCATGTGACACATCTTCCAAACATCTTACTGTTAGTTTCTCAGCCACGTGACCTAATATTCTGCAAGTTGTCCAGTTTCACTAAAGCCCACCATGTGATGCGCGCGGTTGCGTGCGGAGCTAAACTGGTAACTTAATAGCCATGAATCGTGGCCCTCTGGCAATTGGAACTTTTGTCCTTATAAACGCGTCTCATGTTAATTTGCCAAGCCTGTAGAGATGTGTAAGATTTTTTGCGGTGATCGAGATTTCTGAATTGACCCGCGACTGTGCGCGTGATAAGTGGCGCCCCTTGGCTCTACCACCTTCGCTCGGCTTCATGTAGTCACAAATGGATGGAATTGCTGAGATTGACAAACGCTTTCTTTATTTCCGGATGCACCATGCATACACCTTTTTTAGAATGGTGGAAGCTTTTGAGTGCGTATTCGCTTTCATACAGCGATCGGTGGAAGGCATTCCATGCACATTCAAGTAGTGATGCCTCCGTTCACTACGCATTAGTCCCAGAAGAGAAGTACGCGGCGGTGAGCGATCTCGCCTAGCACCAGACTTCCATTTGTAATCCTTTAGGCATTCAAATGGGCATTTGTCTTATGCGATCATTTATGCGCAGGGCTTGTATTAGTCACAACTTTATCTTTTTGAACACATTTAGGGTCAAAGACACATTCTGTCTTTGAGCAGGTGTAGGTCATGGCACTCGAAAATGAACTTGTTTGTGCTAAATAATCAATAGTGATGAAAGATAGTAGCGAAAAAAATCTGTCAATTACGAATACCTTCAGAATCTCGTTGTGCGCCCAGCGTACAGGCGGGGCTTGCGCTCCGCCCCTGCACGACTTTCATTGGCTGGCCTAGAAACATCTACGGTGTGATATCGTATTTTACCATATCAGAGAAACGGTTAACCAATGAGATTCGCGTAGGTCAAGGTGCGTACCATGTCGATGCTATCAGCGAGCTATAGGGTTGTGAGAATTCGTTTCGATAGCCGATTTGCTCATTTCATTGCTGGTAGATCAACTACCATAATTGTGTTCATTTTTGAGCGCAAGACTTCTACCCTTCAATTGTGGAATGTGTCCTTACGAACCAGCTTGAGAAATGAAGGCATTGCCGGATATAAGTGGGCTACTTTTCGCGGATAAACATGCGGCAGTGTCCCTCCTTGTTTTCAAGTCATTTTTCATAATATTTGCATGCATGGGGTGTTCTTAAAGCACGTATAAGACATAGACAACACACCAGATGCTTAGAAGCAAATTTGTTGGATGTACAGTCAGAAGTTCGATTTTCATAGGATGGAGTATCTATTTCGACGCTGAACATTGAGGGTGGAATTTGTGAAGAACTGAATGAAGCCGACTTCCATTGCGACCCCCCTCCGCCCACCACACCCCCGATTTTGACGTGACCGTTCGTCCTTCAGTCACAAGGAAGCAGTTGAACGACCATATCAGAAATACAGGACTGTTCTTTCCAGTAGGTGAGTGCCTGATTCTTAAAAAAACCTGTTTCCTACTTTTTGAGCGAACCTAGGTCGAGATTGCCTGGAACCTGCTTCTTTTTAGTGTCAGTTTTAGATCCAGGAGCTGACGCTTCTCTATGCGGCATGTGTGCAACGTCAGCCAGTGGAACAAATGCCGTTCGATATGGTTAGGGACCTTTATTAGGGTAAAAGTGAAAAAGTGGATAAAAGGCGAGTCTGCTACCAATAACCATACCCGAAAGCGTGCAAGGCTTGATTAGCCCGGGCACAGTTCAATCTCAAGAGCAGGAGGTTTGAGCATGACCTCGTACTCTCCGCTCTAGTACCGCTGTATGTCCGAGAGGAATGTGAATTAGTAGTGTAGGAAATGGTACGAGAGAAGATTTTTTGCAGTTATGTTGTGAATAAATTCAATTCTTCTCGAGTTTTCATTATATTTCAATTTCCATACACGGTATATGACATCTTTCAGGGACAATGAAGGAAAATGTACGTAATCTGGAAGTGGTCTTAGCGGATGGTTCCGTTCTGCATACACGAGGGGAAGCGTACCAGAACAAGGTGCGTCGCTCATACGGAAAACACTAGCATGTCGTCTTCGCACTACTACACCACCCCACTAACACATGGATCCAGCGTGACCCGGCGATGAATCGCACTTTTGGTTCATTTTTTGTGAAATGTCATAACGTTCCTCAGCAGGTTTTCTTTCTTGGATGTGTTCACTGAACTCTTTTAATTGCAAGGTTCTTGGTATACTTTGATGGAGGTGCAATTTCTAAGAAAGCATAAGGGCACGTTCAAGTTTCTCCTGATGCCGAGTGTTTAGGCCACAACTTGGACAATTTTGCGATAACCTTGTGAAAGTTAATTTTTTCTGGTGATAATTCAAACGGTAGCTGCAATATTTGTGAGAGAACATTTCTAGAGTCGAGTGTCAAGAATTTTATCTTTCTGGAAACATAGTTTGTTAAGACCATTTATCGAACTGAATTTCCGGTCCCGAAAGCTACGCAATTCCAATAAATCAGCAATAGTACACATACTATATCCTGGTAATCATCAATTATCAACTCCAGTATGGGGCGTCCACAACGAGCTTGCGACAGGTCCTGCAGATTCACAAAGCTCTTTCAGGGAGATTGTTCCTGCTTAAAAGGAAAGGATGATGGTCGAAGTGGCCATATGCAATGAGACCTACACCGTGGATGTGTTTTTGGACGCTGATCTCGAATCTGCTTTCCAAATCTGCCAAACGATTTTCCTGAATGGAGTTATGAAGGAAAGTAGTGCAGCGGTAGTAGTCCGGGTTCACGTGCGAGACGTCGTAGGATCGATTCCCTGGACGGGTTCTCTTTTGCCTTCGCGGCAACATGGTTGAAAAAGAGCTCCCAACATTGCTCGATCAACGCGTGACTATAATTACCCGTGTGAAGAGTTTGTAAGGAGTTTTCAATGGAAGGGGTGCTGCTTGGTAACAAGGGAGGTCGTTCAGGGTGTGCCAAGCTTTTTCAAAATGGTTTCTTGCATGACATTGGGGCACATATGGGGACCACAGAAGCATGGTTCATTTTTCCTGAACGGCCCTCTGAATACCAGAAAAGGGGTCCCTAGTTCGATTCCTCGTGGTGACAAATTTTTGCATTTCGAGTTGACGTTTCAAAATTCGCGCAAAATGGAGTTAGCATGAATAATTAGTACCATATTCATGATTAGGACCGTCAGTAACCCTTACAAATAGACTTTGATTGAAAAACTGGTGAAAAAGGTGTGACTAGGGACCCCCTTTTCTGGTATTCAGAGGGCCGTTCAGGAAAAATTAACCATGGTTCTGTGGTTCCCGCATGTGCCCCTATATCATGCAAAAGACCGTTTTGAAAAAGCTTGGCACACCCTGAAAGACCTCCCGTAAAACATGGAGCCCGTAAAACTTAAAGGAGGAATTCACGATTAGAATGAAGGTCGAAGAAAGGGAAACTGACCTAGTTGAGGGACCCACGGACCTCCTGAGGGTGCGAACTGACGCGCAATTCGCATGGAAAAATTTGACCTCGGCGACCTATCATGCCTCAAAGCTGGCGGGTCCGGCGATCTCCGCCCACCGATCATCTGATCACTCGCCGTAGTTCAATACGTGGCGAGTGATTAGATAGCTGAGAGAGCGTAGTGTTGAAGAGGGCACAGCGATGAGAGTCGCATCAATGCTCAAATCAACGGGCAAGGAAGGGGTCCCATTTCTCGGGTTCTGGGCCGTTTCTCATGGTTCTTCCTTCTTTCGTGTACCACTCACCATCCCTAGGTTAATTTGAAATGGGTTGCTTTTTCATCGTGAATTCGTCCTTTAAGATTTGTAGATGGTGAATATTCATTTCCGAAGATGAAAATTCTCCAAATTTGTAGCCAAATCACCTCGTCAGGGAATGATCCTATGACCTCTCACTCGTGTCTGGGCCACTACCGCTGCTCTATTTTGCTTCATAACTCCGTTCAGAAAATCGATTGGCAGATTTGGAAAGCAGATTCGAGATCGTGTCCAAAAACACGTCTTAGTATAGGTCTCATTGCATACGGCCATTTCAACCATCATCCTTTCTTGGTTAGATTGATCTATCGTTGGCAAAACCCGACGCCGTCACTAGTGGCGAACATGTGGGAACAGCAGTTAGTTAAATGCAGCAGTGCTGCTAGGTGAGAGCTGGAAACCGGTAATCACGTCTGTCGCCATCACCGTAGTTGCCTGCGAAGTTGAACAAATGTTACAACAGTCATGAGGTCTCCCACTGAAACGCATAGCTTTTCAGAAAATCAGCAGCTGGCTACAATCTCACTGAATTATTCGTTG